GGGAAGTCGATTTTGATTGGCTGATCTAGCGTGGGAAAGGAGATAGGAGAATGGTTTCAGCGAGTCAAGTCTTAACCGTCAGGCAATCTAGACGTGTTCATTTTCGATGTCATTCATTGCTTACTAAAACAACTAGCGATTGCCGGCCAAGAGAAGACGAGATGAGGTCACGCCCACCGTGGGACTATGTAACACCCAGAAGAATATACATCTGGGTTAAGCCGGAGAACATAACTTAAACGTAGTAATAGCAACAACAACGATGAGGACAATAGTACAAATATAAATAGTGTAAAAAATGAAAAAAAAAAGATTTTTTTTTCTGATTGTAAAACTTATTGTCCAACCCCACCCGACGATTTTTCCCCTACTCCATATACGCCTGGACTTTAAACGACTCTTCGGCCGAATGGGTTGGCGTATAAATCTCACCAGTTCTCTCTGTCGATTTGTTGCTGCCTACTTTACCATGGAGCACATTCTTTTATTCCGAATATCTTAATATAGCCTACAATTTGCACGGTTTATTTAACTCAACAATACACTGCTTCACTGTTTCTTTGAAATCATTTTCAAAAACCATCCAAAACAAATCCGTAAATCTAAGATAAAAAAAAAAACAAACAAATATCAATTTGATTTTCTAAAGTAAACCTTTCCCTATATCAGCTGTCGTTATGCCTTAACTCCCTTGACATATCTTTATCTGTTACAATCTCTGAGAATCTCACTATCGAGACGAGTGTTATTCATATCGCACTGAAACCTGAGCTAGACAATTTAAACTATTAAGATTTAACCTCACAAATAAAATACATCTTATGTTACTGTTGAAGCTTAAATAAGCATGGAATAATACAACACAAAATGTACGTTAACAAAATGTATTGAAACAAAGAATAGGTACACAATATTTACAGTTAGTTTGGTATATTCTTGGGAAGACTGTTCCTGCATAATGGGTTGACTAAATCGCAGTCGGGCAGAGTCTCTGGATTCAATTTCTTAATCTCTACTATCTTCCCCGTCTTCCGGTACCAACCCATATTTATATGGTCGGTAGTCCGCTTATGTAAATTAGGTGTATCATACACAACAGTTACATATATATATATATATATATATATATATATATATATTACTTCAAGTGTTATATTTATTGGATAACCGTCAATAATTAGACATTCCGTTCATTTTAAACATCATTTATATTTATCTGCCTAGCTACTCAAGAAAACTTAATTAAGTGAAATCTACTTTTTAACATTCGAACCAGAATCTCTTTACAAAAATGAACAACTGTCTGATCCAGCGTACTTTTACTGCTCGGCTAGGAAGAGATTCACAATAAGGACGTGTTCTATTTTGCTTTCAGATTTTTCTCGAAACGCATGTCTGCCTAGTTCCCTATCCGAAACGTAAACAAAGCAATTTCTAAAGAATTAATGGATTTTACTTTTTAATCCATGATATTTGTATTGCTTCAAACGTTATTTTTAGAGGATACCCGTGTTTGCGTAGATGCCCCGTTTATTTTAAACAGTATTTCTTTCGTCTAATGGTCAGCGTACTCGAGAAAACTCAACAAAGAAAATCCCAGAATTCGAAACTGCAGGAAGAACCCTGGGCAAAAAATTGCGCAAAATCATTAAACAGATCGTCTCTATTGGATGTTGATTCCAGTGTCCTCTCTTATATATACACAAGCCCTATCCTGGATACTAATTACTTTTTATCCATAAATATATTCTTCGTGTCTCTTTTGGCGATCATGGCTCTCCACAATTTCCTTTGTAAGTCTTAATGATTTTTGTCTTTTTGTCACCTCTCCGAAACCCTCGCTAGGTAGGTTATGAATTGTTCTCCTCTTACCTTAAATTTATCCTGTGAGTATCAAATTTCCCAAGCCCTATTTCCTCGTTATGTGCCCCAGAATTTTAAAATGTCTCTTCCTGATGTTAAGCATAAGTTTCCTTTTTGTTGTCTTTATTCCTAGAATTTCGTCTGTGCTCACATATTCGGTCTATGGTATTCTCAGTATCCTTCTGTAGAACCATATTTATGTTGCTTCAAGTCTTTTCTTCATCTGTGAGGAGATTGTCCAGCATTCACTGCCATAAAGGAGGACTGATAACACATGACATTTCAGTACTCTTTTATTTGTTTCTAATGATATCTTTTTATTTCTTAATACTTTGCACAGCTTTTTGGAAGATATCTTTCATTATCCCAGTCCGACTTCGGATTTCGGTGTCGTATTTTCTGTCCTCCGTTAAAACGCTTCCCAGATATTCTTGGTGCACCTGTTGATTTCTGTATTTCTAATCCTCAATTTGCATACTTTAAAAATATTTTTATTTATATATATATATATATATATATATATATATATATATATATATATATGATTGAATAAATTACAGACATTATATAAGCTAATTTTTAATAAAATCCGTTCATACTCACGAATAACTTTCCGTATATTGATGTTAAAGGAAAGAAAAATGGGAAGTCGATTTTGATTGGCTGATCTAGCGTGGGAAAGGAGATAGGATAAAGGTTTCAGCGAGTCAAGTCTTAACCGTCAGGCAATCTAGACGTGTTCATTTTTGATGTCATTCATTGCTTACTAAAACAACTAGCGATTGCTGGCCAAGAGAAGACGAGATGAGGCCACGCCCACCGTGGGACTATGTAACACCCAGAAGAATATACATCTGGGTTAAGCCGGAGAACATAACTTAAACGTAGTAATAACAACAACAACGATGAGGACAATAGTACGAATATAAATAGTGTAAAAAATGAAAAAAAAAAAAAAAAAGATTCCAAACTAGCGATTCCAAACTAGCGATTCCAAACTATTAGGGGGTCAACAGCAAAAATATGAGCCCAAAATCCAAATTACAGATCGGGGACCCTAAGACAAAGCAATTGCAGAAAAACTCATCATCCAAATTCTAATGAATATTATAATACAACTGACACGACGAAGTCATCATTAGTGGTCACAACCTCGTTGTATGCATCATTTCAAGTAATAGTCACAATTTTAACAACATAAGATATCCAGATGACATAGTGCTGTTTACATTTCTTTTACTTTCATTTCCCAAGTATTTTCGATTTTCTTCCAAGATCATCTTTAGGTGTGCAAGTGGCACAAACTATGGCTGAAAAGAAAAGGAATGACAAATATACTTTATTCTCAGAGAGACTTTTATAATACTAAGATATACACAAACATGTATATACACAAATGCACATATCCCATGCGGAGAATAATATATCACATATATCTACACAGCAAGGAAGAGTGTAAGAAAAGAGAAAAAAAAGAAGTCTCTTACATATAATATGGAGATAGCCCTGTGTCTGGACAAACCATGTTTAGGACTCCAGATTCAAACGGGCCGGATTCATCTATGTCCCAGGTGAGGACATATTTAACGAACGGTAAAGAGCGAGTCATGTGTTTTCCCAAATTTAGAACTGCTAGCTGAAGTTTCTTTCTATATCTGGGAAAGGTACATTTCCAAAGGAAAAAAAGGCGCCATGGACTTGTAAGCTGCAGGGGAGGCAGATATAGCCTATGCCCGGGCGATGGGAGACCCGGGCTAAAGAAAGCCACCTTGCGGTTTAGCTGCTAAAAAATGAAAAGGGAAAAGTGTTTTTGACTGTCGCCCTCGTCACTGCTGTCATGTAACCCACGTGACTTATCTTCACCAAAGAGAAATAAACGTCTTCTGCATATTCCTGCACATCCTATAAATCGTAAAGACGACGACCCTTCATCAGTTCCTATAGACTGGTACTATAAAATCAGAAAAAAAGACCTATACTAAATCATTACATCAGTTGAAAACTTTCAACTACAGCAAGAACAAAAATGGGTAGTACTTGTAATTAAAGAGAGAAAATTATGATATGATCAAAATTTTGATATTCCACAATGCCTTAAACAAAAGGTTAGGAAAGAAACTTTCATCAATACTAGAAAAGGAGATAATAATCAACATAGTAGGTTAATTAAAAAAAATGATACAACATCAGCTCTAGCATTTCGGTCAATGGGGGGGCGAATGTTTGCTGTATGGCAACGGTCAATTTCGTCATTATCATAATCATTACCATGTTCAAGGTAACAGAACTCATTTAAAGTACACTTTGTCTCCCAAGAGGTGATGCAGGCTAACCTTAGCTGCTACTCTCTTTAACATAATTCTTACGAGGATTTTGCCAGCTGCCTGTTACACTGGCAGTTTAAGAAGCTGAAAATATGTCCCCCGTTTTTGAAAACGTTTAAGGTGTCTGCGTCTGTAAAGTTCTGTGGTAGTTTTCTCTGTCCCTTGTAACAAACAAGATAGTTGTGGCTTATTGAATGTCAAGTGGTGATCATGACTCTCCACAAGCTCCTGTCCCTTGTAGTTCTAAGTAACATTTGTCCCTCTACCATCACCTTAAACCTCCATTCCGTCATCCATTCGCAAAAGCTCGTCAGCTAGTTGACATGTCGCCTTCACCTGTCCTTTTTTGTTTCGATATGTCCAGTGAGTGTCAAATTCTCTAAACGCCCCTTCCTCATTATGCGTCCAAGAAGTTTCAACGGTCTTTTCCTGATTCTGAGTATAGACGTTCTTTTTTGTTTTTTGTTTCCATTTTCCTTAGGAGTTATCCTTTGCTTACATAATCTGTCCGTGGTATTCTCATCATCCTTCTGTAGAACCACATTTCTATTGGCTCCAGTTTTCTCTTCGTCTGTGAAGAAATTGTCCAGCATTTACTGCCATGTAAGAGGATTGATATTTGATAGCAGTTCGGCACCTTTTATTCCCTCCTTTCATAATGAACAATCACCTCTTTTAGCCGACTATTTTATAACACCCAGAATACTAATGCATCGGAGGATTATCAAAGAAAAAAAAAGTTTCGTAGATGAATGGAAAATATTAATTATTGGCCTTGTTACGTCATTGGACAGAGAGCAACCTCGACTGATCATGTGGATATGTCAACATGGTATCCGGGTTGGTAGGTCACGAACTATCGGGTGTACGCTTGGGTAGATGCTTTCTATTTCGTTTAAAAATTTAGAACCGTTGAAACGTGATTTCGTTTCATGACACATGATACAATATATCTTGCTGTTTGCAGCGCCGTTAACATTGCAACGAGTTCAAGAAACAAAGAGTGCTTCAGCTTTGATACTGAACACAATGCGGTCAAGAAACACATAAAAAGCTTCTTTTATTCTTTATCTGAAAGGCTCTCGTGGAGGGTAAGTGGGTACAGCAGTTGAAATTTGTGAAAAAATGGTTGACACAAATGACCGAAATGTTCTGCGTAATGATAGTAAAAGAAATGCTTAATCTCAGAAATTAAAATGAGAAAGTTACCTTCGCTTCTGGTTGAGACTCTGTTTAAAACTATTAGTTTCATGGTAATTGCTCCGATGAGCTGCTTTCACTGGTTCCTAGACTTCATGAATTCAAGCGCCCTACGAGGCTGGCATCCCGCTCTCACCGTTATTACTGTAGAAAGTTTTAAATGTAGCCGTCTCTTCTACTTATTAGCTTCATACCTCGCACCTCTCGCCTGTGGAACACCCTTCCCTATTACTGTTTCCCTGAAAGCTATAATCTCCAACTATTCAAATGTAATGTCAATCGACCTCTACAGTTACCTTGATCTATCCACTATACTTCTCCTCACCCTTTCTTCTATAACTCCTATCTGCTCTCGCTCCAAATCTTCTGCAAGCCCCCTGCATCCTAGTGGCTTCACGCCTTGCTCGGGGTGTAATGCTTAAATATATTTAAATCATTGTTATAATTTGTAGAGAAAAATGGTGCATTTCAATATTACTCAATCATCTTGCCGATGTGACCTCCATCTTCTGGTTTTCTCCTTCTATATTTTGGAGAGGAGTTATTCCCTTGCTCAAATTTAAATTTAATGGAAATCAAAGGGAAAAATTAAGTGCGTTGTTTGTGTCCCTCGGGGGCTCTCTATGATCAAAATGAAATATACTTATCCAAGTAATGTAGTTTCAGAATATAGATATTTATGCGTGTCTATCTCCAAAACCCCATGAGGTGTTCGATAACGAACAATATATATATATATATATATATATATATATATATATATATATATATATATATATATATATATATCGGTTGTAACAGTAAAATTGTCCAAATCGTGTAACAGCGTAATTATACACCCCACAAGATGTTTAATATCTAAAATGACCCAGATTTTCAGTTGAGGCCTTTAGCCATCTTGACACCATTATTCGTAAGTATCACTGAAAATAGTCATCTGCATATCTTATATTGTTAAGATTGCCCTCCCCCACTCCCAATAATAAGTACTGGTAGGATCTCCAGCTCCTGTTGTATAGCCTCACAGCAGACCATGGTACCTGATTTAGAGTACAATTGTTTATAATGACGTGAGAAAACTCTGGATCTGATTAGAGTTGATGGAACGTTACTATCTTGGTTTTGGAAGTATTCAATGTTATAAGCGAGTCCCCCACTTCCTCATTGAGATCTTAGAGCTCGGTCAGAGGAGAGATCAGCTACGAGGATTTGGCTGAAAAATGATTGAAAATCTTTTCACCTGTCAAAGAAACTATAAATATATTAACACCAAATGGATATATATATTGTTCACTTAATATTAAAGTAACAATTCTAGGTAAACTGATACCTTGGACGAGACAAGTACTTTTTTATAATATTTCGGCAATATTTCCACACATTAAGACGAGATAGCTATGCGTTCACCTCTTGGTCTTACTTCTTCTAATTTCTACATTACTTTAATATCAAAACTTGCGATATATGTTCGACATATCAACAGCATCTCCGAATAGAAAACGGCGACCCTGGTTTTCCTCCAGAGGCCAATGTAACGATTGTGAGGAGCTGCTATACTGATGACAAAATATTCATAGCTGGAAAAATAATGATGCTAAAAGAAATCAGCATCCTGTACCAAGTATTCAAAAAAAAATATGACTCAAAATAAACCTTTCCAAAGCAATGATCTGAATTTGAAAATAAGGCAGCAATATCACGTAATCTGAATTCAACATAAAAATTCAGAACGTGGAATTTGTAAATATTAAATACTTCAGAGGAAGTAAAGATCAGCTCCAACAAATTTAGTATAGGAGATAAGGAAATTGAACATAGCTGAGCTAGTGGTAGTTTCGCTCAACACCGCAAGTTGCCCCAGAACCAAAACAATAGCCTAAAAACTCGAGCCATGCTGTTAAATAGCCTCGTCAGATCTACACTGGCACCAAGCTCGTTTAGAGATATCTAAACTGTCAGCTGTATAAAACCGCTTTCTCAGATTAAATCGCTTTCTCATGATTTAAAAATGGCTTCCAGCGAATGGAACATGTAGGTCTTAGTAAGGATCATTTTTATTTGAACCTCATGGCCTGCCGTTGCAGAATTACAATGAACTGTATGAAATAACAGAGACCATATCAATTAAGGACATTCAACAGCAGCAATGATTAAAATGGCTAGCACATAGAACTCGATGAGAAAATAATGTCATAATATAGATATCGATGTGCCAAATTACTTCAAATAAACCGTTAGAAAGGGATTACTCGTTAATACTAGAAATAGCTATATCAGGTAATGAACATGAGAAACCTGTTTACCTGGAAAATTGTTTTAAAAGATTGACTTTATAAATTTTAACCTACAGTAATACTGGCAGCTCTATCAATGAATGATGAATGTTTCTTTATAAGAAAACGACTAATATTACAATTTCCGTTACTATATGCAAATTAAGGGAAAAAATCGAAACAAAAACATCATAGAAGAATTTTTAGAAAAAAGACTATTGTAAACTTTACTTCTAAAATTAACATTATTAATGGAACCACTTTCCTTGAAGCTTTGAATAACAGTAGTCGTAATTTTATTACATCACAATGTAAAAGATTAAAGCAAAATCACGACGTCTAAATCATATGGATATAAAGTAGCAGTTATAGAAAAATAATGATTCACCGAGCAATAATTTCTTTTCTGCACAAATTAGTGTTTGAAAAATCTGAGTGAAACAAAACACTCGAATAAATTCACCAACTAATTTGGCAGGGATCAAATAAAACTAACTTTAAAGAATATTACGAAAAATTGCGGAAACAACCAAACTGATATAGAAAATGTCATTAACTTATTCTATCATAACCAGAATCTCCATAGAAACAAGATAAAATTCCATTAACATAGATTCAACGATAGCTAACCTTTAATAATTGCAATGAATACATTAGATTTAACATTCATTTTAACATTTTGAAAAAAAAAAACTGGCCTAAATATTACCAATAAGTTGGAATTTTCAAAAATTACACTCATGCAAAGACAATTGGAATTATGAATTCTTGTGACCGTTCAGATATTGGATCTTAAATGACAGTAATATTTAAAAACAGGTACAGTGTTACCCGGATGTAAGATACCCGGATGTAAGAGAAACCCGGATATAAGAGAGATTTTCTCTGGTCCCAAATTAGAGCCTGTGTTAATGTATATAAAATAGACCAAACCCGGATATATGAGAAACCCGGATATAAGAGACTTCTTCTCCGGTCCCGACAACTCTCTTATATCCGAGTTACACTGTACATTAAATTCTTACATTTATCACACACATGCCACAATAACTCGTAGGTTAATGCGTCACTCATGGAAACAGACTATTTCGAACATATATCGACTAGCGCATTATAAACACCCATAATACGACTATTAAAATAAGGATAAATATTATTAGATAATAGAAAAATCACTGTAAAGAATTCACAGTAAAAAAAAAAAAAAAAAAAAAAAAAAACGTCTCCAAATATTCGAAGCTATTATCATACAAGGCGTTTTGAATAAAAAAAGAAGTTGGAAAACTTATGTTATGGTAAATAGGATATAGTCCGAATTGCAGGAAAACTGCATAAGAAAGAAATATCAAGCAAAAATCCTTCATTAGTTTTCAAACGAACATTCATAATATCTATCTATCTATCTATCTATCTATCTATCTATCTATCTATCTATCTATGTATCTACAGGGTGTTAGGGCTAAATTTGACAGAAATTAATGTTTTTTTGGGTTTTTTCAGATTGATTTGAAATATCTGTAAACAGTGACTGATTTTGTGAAACCTAGTCAAACCTACAGGTTTAGAGGTGTCAAAATTAACAAACATTGACGATTGGAAGCCAACTGAATATTGGCTAAGGCATCAAGATGATTCGTACTGCGCATCAAAATGCCGTAATCCTGACAGCTCAATGCTTTTTGAACACCGTGCAAACAAAAACACGTGGAATTGAGAGCAGTAAAGGAGACTAAAGGCCGTGGCTTGTAAAAAAGGACATAGCAGACGTTCTGATTACCTCCGTACACCAGAATTCATCCGACAACTACAGGAGAAAATAATGGAAGACCCAGGGAAGGGAATTCAGGCTTTGGCGTAGGAAATAAATTTCCACCATGATTGAGGACCTCCACTATCAGACATATAAGAGGTGTAACGATCAACTTCTCACAGACAAATTTCCAGAAAACCGTCTGACAAATTCTGTTGAACCAGAGACAGTCAGGGTAAGGGTTAGTGTTAAGGTTAGGGGCATGGATAGGGGTATGGGCAGGGATAGGGGTAGGGGTTAGTGTTAGGGTTAAGGTTAGCATTTGTTTTCCCAAAAACAAAAACACGACTCGGAGTTTCATGCACAAGGTGCTGAGTAGAGACTGGCCGTTACGTAATTTGAATTTTAATAAAAATATATTTTTTAAAAAATTTAAATTATATAACGCATGTATGTAAATTATAAAATATATATATATATATATATATATATATTATATTTAAAATAGACGAGATTTATATTTTTCATTTAAAATAAACGGGGACTAATATTTTATTTAATACTGAAAATAAACGGGGTTTAATGGTATTTTTTAAAAAGAATAAATATTAAAATAGACGAACCTAAAAATATAAAATATTAAAAATATTAGAGATTTTTATTTTATATTAGGCCTAAATGATATTTAGTGGATATTTTGTAAAAATTATAAAATAAGCGGACCTAAAGCCATTAAAAAATATTTACTAGTAAAATCTATTTGTGATAAAAAAATATTTTGTATCTAAGAATGGCTAGATTTGTTTTAAAATAAACTGCAATTAAAGGCTTAATTTTATATTATATTTAAAATAAACGGGGATTAATTATATTCTTTTCATTTTTGCATTAAAATAAACGGGACTAACAAACTATATATGCTCGAGATAAGACAAGTGAACAGAAGAAATTAAAAAAGGAAAAGTTATAATTTACAGTAGAAATTAATCTGGATCGACGTATTTCAACAGAAATTTCTTTTAGGCCTACATGTAACAGTCATTTCATTCTCCTTGTTTAATAAGTTAACACCAGCACTCAATGTGCGATATCTTATATATATATATATATTATGAATGTATTTTTCATTTATTATTCCGACATATTTGATTTATTTGTTTAATTTGATTTATTTGTTATTTAAATGGATACTTATATATGAGTAGATACTCTGTTTTTATTTTTATTTGTTTTGTAAGTATATTTATTTATTTCCATCAACCGGCCTGGATATTCGAATATTCGAGAAATCGTGCTAGAAAAAGTTGTGCCCTCCGAACCTGTGTCCATTAAGGGAAACTGTCATTACATCTGGCATGCCTATATATATATATATATATATATATATATATATATATATATATATATATATATATATATATATATAATGGACTCTCCCGTCGGTTTCGACGTATGAGAATCTGCCAGCTTATTGATTCAGTTATGAAAGTTTATGCGATAATCTTAAGTGGCATTTAAGACCCGCTAGGGATTTACAAAGGAGACCACATATGGAGCAGATGTGAGAATTGTGAGATGAGATCACTGTTAGATTGGCTGACCTTTTAGAACTTGCTCTCGCTTCTTGAAGATGATTCAGACAAGCAGATTTAAAATTGCTGATTCCACTAAAATACGTTGATCTACATTCTACCCGTTCCGAGGTTAAGCGCTCAAGGGTGTTATGTGGTATATTAACTGCTGACAAGTTGCTTTTTGCTTGTCTTTGTATCTTAGCCATGGGAGTCCTACATTCCCGTAGCCCTGATCTAACTGGCTGTACATTAGGATATTGGGTATCCTGTCATCAGACATTCTCAAGACATGACCAGTCCAGCATAACTGAGACTGTATGATAAAAGTCTCGATTCCTCCAATATTAGGTCTACGTTAGATGTCCTATCTTGAAGCTTAACTGAACAGATTGCACGCAGACAGCTTTTATGGAAAACATCTAGCTGGCGTATATGGTACCTGTATGGAGTCCATGACTCTGAGCCATACAAAAGGATGGCAAATACAACAGCTCTGTAAACCCGAATTTCCTTATCCAGTAGAATACCCCGCTGATTCCACAAGCGATGGCGAAGTTTGCTGAAAGCACTGGTAGCCTTAGCAATCCGATGCATCATCTAAAGTTCTACTGTAATTGACTTTGCTACCAAGATATGTGAAAGACTTTATATATATATATATATATATATATATATATATATATATATATATATATATATATATATATATATAATTTAGGCGAGTCCTATTAACAAAACATAGAATTTGAAATATGTTAAAACTGACTCACAAAAGACTGCCCAGTATTTATTTTCATTAAATACAGCAAATTTTCTTTACAGTTGGAATTAAAATGCCTTTAGTAAATGAGCAATTCAGATATGACCATATATCCCACTATGTCCCCTTACTCTATTTCTTTTCCCAACTAACGATTATCCTACTACAAACTGATACCAAAAACAGTTTGAAAAATTCAGCGAATTTTAAAATTAAAGTTCGTAGGTGAAAATGGTCATTAACTAAAGGTATCTTAATTCCAATTTTAAAGACTATATATATATTTTGATCTCTCTCTCAACTGCGGAGTGATGTGGTCGCAGAAACTGTCTGACAGCCATAACGGGATTCTCTTGCTTGTGTGGCATGGGGTAGTGTCAGACTACCATGCAGTTACCCTTTTAACCAGCATTATCTACTGTAGGCCTCCGTGTAGAGTCTGGCACCCTGGGGCAAGTCGAATGGAGGTATAATGTCGCCATCACTAGTGATCACACCAAACACCTTCGTAATCACCAATAGACTCATCAAACTCTTTCGGAATTCTGGGCACTGCCATCAGATTGACATCGAAACACTACACTGTTCGTATTGGAGCTTCCGACGCGAATGTCAAGCAGTACAGCAGGTTGTTTCCAAGTCTCTGGCGGAATGAATTGCGTCATGCTGCTCTTTTTCTCACAGATGGTGCCCAACTGACCCTACTATAATGTGTAGTCCACAATATCAAAAACAAACAACGAAAATGCGGGAAATAAAAAAAATGTCGACAAATTACCCATAGCACAATTTATATATATATATATATATATATATATGTGTGTGTGTGTGTGTGTGTGTGTGTCTGTGTGTCTGTGTGTGTGTGTGTGTGTGATTGGGCCAAATATATGTATCTAGGTGTGTTTGCATTTAAATATTGTTTTAAAAATTGGAAAAATAAAGACAAGTCTATAGGAAAACAATGAACATCTAGCTTTTGTTGAAAGTTCTAACGTCGTACGATAATATTACTCGAAAGATTAAAAAGAAAGGGATACATTTACCGGATCTTAAGTACAATTTTCTCTTGCGCGTTCAAAAAATGTATTATTATCTAGTGGGTGTGCGCGTCTGTGAACAAGCGTATTTAATTGCTATAGAGGTTCGGTCTTAAATACATTACTAGCTGAATAATGGCCTAACTGTTTATTGTCTTCTTCAAATATTCGTTTCTTACACCTATTAAACTTGTAAAACACACACTCTCTCTCTTTCCACTTTTTCTTTCTCTGTGTATATATATATATATATATATATATATATATATATATATATATATATATATATATGTCTTATATATATGTACATATAAAATATATAAATATATATATATATATATATATATATATATTCTCTCTCTCTCTCTCTCTCTATATATATATATATATATATATATATATATATATATATATGTCATGCATTTATATAAATAAATACAGATATACATTTATAAAAAAATTTTTCTTATATATATATATATATTAATCTATATATATACATGCGTGTGTGTGTGCAAGTATAATATGTAAAACCACTTTTATATATATTTGTGTGTATGTATGTTTGTGCGTATGTGTTTGTGCATGTTTGTATGTGTGTGTGTGCATTTTTGTCAGACAATAAATACACAACGAGTGCACACAATATGTTCAGTGAAGCAATGACATTCGCTATATATAAGGCTGTTTTTCTCCTCAGATAAGAAATATTTGCCCGGAGCGAACACAGATTCTGTAACGCGATGTCTCTTTCCGACAAAGTTCAACAGCTTTCCAGAAAGATCCCTTTCAAGACCTCCACCATAATTAGCAGTTTGACCCTCCTTTTTCTGACAATAGCAATTTTCCATTCAACTTCCAGGATTGCCAGCTTAGAGAGGAGATCAGGCCAACATGTAAGTATTGCGATTATATCATTGATAGATCCCAGGGATCCGGAAACCCCACCTCGTTCTTATAATCCACCCCCATGTATTGTGGCATTATATCTTTGATACCAAATCAATGACGCTTTTACGTTTAGGAATGATTGAGTGATTGATTGATTGTATCTTATGAACGCTTTTCAGGTTATTTAAAGCCAGAAAATATTTTTAGTTTATAAAAATCTTTTTAGATAATAATGGTTTTAGTGATAAGAGTTTTACTAATTAATTCACGGCAGGTGCTAGGGAGAAGAGGGGGATTTATACCTAATCAGAATTTGATAAATAAACACGAACTTATAAGGTGGATATAAAGTGGGGTATCAATTTATTATTGCAATCAATATGTAAACGGATCCCTCACTATGTGACCAATGTAATTTATATATAATTGTATTCTAGAAAATGTAAATAAATCTAAAGTACATGCCTATATAACTGATCAATATATCATTGATTGTTTGATTCGTTTTCTACGGCTTATCAACGCTTTTCAGGTTATTTAAAGCCAGAAATATTTTTCGTTTGTAAGATGTTTTTTAGATAATAATGGTTTAGTGACACAAATTTTACTACTTAACCCATAGTTTAGGGGAAAAGAGGTGGATTCATATCCTTCCCAAGGATATATGTGCGTAAGTGAATATAACGAACCCAGCAGGAATTGGAACTCAGCTCTCCGATTTTCAATTGTAAGACATTTTCCTTTAAACCACCTGCACATCCAAGCGTACAACATTTGGTTTTCTGAAGCGGTTACCCATCTACGTACTGATCAGTCTCGACGTTTCTTAACTTTGGTAATCACAAGGAAACCGGTGCTTCAACATGATGTAAGCGAAACCGTCACGTTTAAGAGTTAACAGGGATTATAATTTAGTTTCGAATAATTAAATACGATGATCAATTCAAAAAAAATTAAATCAAATGTGAGAACTAATATTAAAATGTAGGCATAGAAGTAGATCCAAGCTTATATAAGCATATAAATCTTAATTTATTTTTGACTAACTACCAAATATATATATATATATATATATATATATATATATATATATATATATATATATATATGTCTGTGTGTGTGTATGTAGGTATATGTGTAAGTGGGTAGGTATGTATATGCGTTTTACATAATTTATTCCATTGGGTGTCTAGGTTTTACTTACAGATTTTGGGAATCTATTATTTAGATAATTTATTCTAACTTTAAACTGACTTGTTTTTAAATCCCTCACCATTTAATAATATAATCAACTAGCAGGAACCTAAATCCATTTATATACAACTAAATGTTTTGGCCATAAATAAACTCCCACTCCTGCCCAACTCCTTGTCACCAACCCAGAGTCCTTACCAAAACGAGGCTTCCCCTTAAGTAGCCGCGTATATTTTCACCGATTGCTATTTAAACTAAATTCAAAACATCCATTCCGAGACAATCAGTCTTGGGCTCAGGAAGGCTGCCATATTCAGAACGTAGGCGATCATGTCTCTCCACTTTATCCTTACGAAGCATAGCATACTCGTGCGAACTAAAAAATAGAACTCACGATACGTACTTATCTATGAGACAATACTAATGAATACTCTAAGGCCAGGCAGTTTTAATATCTATTTATTTATCTTAGCCTATTCATTATCTATCCGGCGATCTATTTTTATTCATATATATCTCCATCTATTCGTAGATATCTTGCTAGCAAGATAACTAGCTAGCTATATAGATACATTGAGAGACAGAGAAAAACAGAGAAAGATGAACAGACTGAGATAGATATAGATATTTCATTCTGTTTATAATCAAGATATTAACATTCCACACCACATCAAATAGAACATAAGAAAGAAACGCCATCAATACTGAAAAAGAGCGACAACAGCTATCGAACTTGAGAAACCTTTTTTTTTCCTATAAAAATGGATTTTAAGAGAAAGATTTTATAAATTTCAACCGTAAACTGGACTAGCTATTTGGTCAATGAATGCCAAATATTTTCTTATAAGGAAACAGCTAGTATTGTCATTATCTTTGTCTTGACGTTTTCCAATGAATCCAGCCTAATATTTCCGCTAAATCTTGTATATTTCCACTTTATCCTTCAAATATTTTTTTATTTAGTCACATTTGCCAGAAAGGTATTTACTTTTCTTTTTCCATGCATGATGCAAACGAACTTTTATATTTTTTATCGCTCTCCAGTTTTTGAATTTAAGGTAAACAATGCATACTCTCTTAAGAATGAAAAGACAAAAGTATATTCATTGCAAAGCAAACATATGATCAAATAATTATGAACTGGTTCTAAAATTGTTTCTTCTTCTCTTCTCTTTGGTTTTATCTTATTCCTGTGAAGACTGAAGCACAAAATAGCCTGACTGAATGCATCTTCGGTCAAGGTACTAGTCAGGGGTAGACGATTGGCCTGGACTTTTTCGACCGAACTTGGTCCAAATTTTCAAGTAGATTTTGGTGTCCGATTGAACTGGTTCAGTTTAACAGAATCCAACTTCAATCTTTCGTCATGACTCGACACGAAAGTCTAATGAGTTGTGTCGATTCAATGGGCATAAGTCCTCGCGGATCAAAATCCCTTCGCGGATCGGATCAGGTCCGCGGGTCGTAGGCTGCTGAGCCCTTCTCTGCGGCAAGCACTGAAACCACGTATCGCTTCTCTGCGTCACTGTAACCACAAAGTACTGGGAACCAAATCTTTTATAATAGATAATCTTCATTATTATCAGAGTTGTTTCGACTTCAAGATACACTGTAAATCAATGAGATTTTCTCATCTTCAGCATACAAAATCCATACAATATTACTGACTACATCAGAGACGTGAGACAGGTTATAGAATGCATCAACCGAAATGATATGATCCTTGTCTTATAAGTGTACCCATCTTATAAAAACTGAAGACTTATTTTTGCAGATGAATTGTATTAGTGATAATATAAAAAAAAATGTTATTTTCATATTCAAGATTTGCTTCAATACATCTAGTTTATTAAACTAAAAAATTATATAAAGTAAATATAACAATTTATAAATAAAAGAAAAAAAGTTTCGTCACTCGATAAACGATATCAAGTTAAATGTGGAGATTTTATTTCGTAATTTGTATTTATGCACAGAAATGGAAGAAAATATCGTTATGTTTTCAAATTTGAGAAAACTCTAAAATATTTTAAAGCGAGTTACGTAAGGAAAGGTAAATTATAGCGAACGGCAAGTTCGGTAATTTATTGATGTCATTTATTGCCGAATATATAATGATGGCATTTATTGTCTAATGTATAATAATGTCATTTATTGCCTAATATATAATGATGCCACTTATTGCCTAATCTATAATTATGTCATTATTGTCTAATATATAATGGTCTCATTTATTGCCTAATATATAATGATGTCATTTATTGCCTAATATATAATGTCATTTATTGCTTAAATAACAATTGAATCTTTTGCATTGTCTCCATTCGTTAGATTAAAAAGAATTATTATAAATGAACTTAAATTTCGATAATACCTATATTTAAATGTAGTTAACTTTAAAAGAGCCAATAAAAGAATATCTACATAATTGTGAATAGCTGGTCAAGACAAATAACTTTCTTTGCATTTTATCAAGAACCTCTAGATGAATAGCAGAAGCACTAGAACAAATATGTGTGGCACCTTGCATTATTAGAAATATTCATAGAAATATGATTTAATTTTTCTTACTCGGTTTACTAAACAGGTTGTTGATTTTTTTAAAACGGAAAATAATTGAGTTGAGAATAATTCTAAGATTGTACCTGGACGATCCTAAGGGAAGAAGAAGGAAGGGGAAAGAGAGAGGTCGATACAAAAAAACGGTCATTAACAAAAACACGAGTCAGAAAGATATCTTAGCTATGTTGACCGAATTTTTTAAAGACAATTGGAAGAATAGAATTAGAAATAATAAAAAAAAGAAAGGAAAAGACATGATATCAAAACAGGCCGCTTGATGAAAACCAGATATCGGTCAAAGCATCTAGCCTACTTTTGCGTGAAAGACACCTTATCAAATTGGAGAAAGGGAAATTCTTTTTAGAACAATAGAAACGAAATTTTTTTTTATCAGAGAAAAGTGTCTTTTGGGTTGAGGGGATTAGTATACAGATTCTGACCTGTTAAAATTAGAACCCCCATATTTTCAATTCAGATAAATTAAGATTTTCTGACTGCCGGGTCTGACAAAAAAAAAAGAGGTGGAGGAGGCGATTGTCTCGGATCACGGATGGCGACAGTATTCTTTCCTGAAGTCACAACTAATTAGACAGAGCCCAGGTGAGGTCATTTTTTCGTACGTGCAGAAAAGGCAAAATTGGATTTTTTTTTTTAAAAAACAAGAACGATGTAACCACGCCCGAAAGGAGGAGAAAGGATGCTCGATCAATAACAATTGGTCGGAAACGGTCACGTGATCTGCAGAAAAGAAGAAAAGAAATGCCCGATCAGGAACCATTGGTCGAAAAACGGTCACCTGACATACGAGAGACTAAGAGAGATGGGTGTACACCTCCCCACCAAAGGCACTGTGAGGAAGTAGGGGCGAAAACAATAGCGATAATGAGAAATCAAAAATAATGCGACTTTTGGAATTATCGAGAAAACCCTGACGCCGACAGACCCACCCCAGTTTGCTGCGGCGTCAATAAAAAACAGGGACCCCAGTCGACAGAAATCAGTTGAGTTGGAAAGCTGGACCGCGGGCAGGGATAGAGCCCTGAACGAAAAGAATCCTCAGACAAGAAATCCTTCCAGCCCAAGTCGAAGACAGAAATTCAGCCCCGACGGCAGCGAAATCACCTCGGACGACAGAGAGTTGCGGCTGAGTTGCGGCAAGAGATCCTTCCAGCCCAAGTCGAACACAAGAGAACTTCCAGCCTAAGTCGACGAAGAAGAAGAAATACAACCCAAGTCGAAGACAAGAGAACTTCCAGCCCAAGTCGAAGACAAGAGAACTTCCAGCCTAAGTCGACGAAGAAGAAGAAATACAACTCAAGTCGAAGAGAAGAATCAACTGCGAATGATCGATTAGCCCCAGTGTCGAACCAAACCACACTCCGACATACACAATTCTAAAGAGTAGGCAATTCGAAATCTTTTAGGTTGTGTGATAGAAGCTTGGTGCCATAGTCCACAGAGCGGGTCGGGAAAGAGAACAATTTTGTTTTTTATGTAACGGACATTAAGATATAAAGGTTGTTACCCATTTTTTCATCAGCAATCTTTTTGTCTCGTGAGTTTATTTTCCCTTTTATTTGTGTTTTGCCACCCCGTCGGACTCAACTTATATCGGCCCCCAATCCTGCTGGTCCCGTCTGTCTAAGATCTAAACACAGCGTGGGTAGACAGACCGGAGATCGGTACAGTTGCTTTAGTGACCAGGTATTGGAAGCGAGTCGGGAAAGGCGAGGCTGGTGATCATCTGACCAAGGGGTTGGAGCGGCACGCTGGACCCAGGAGGAGCGACCAGGAGGAGCGACGTCACCGTTGGCGCCGTAATCAAAGGATCCGAGCCTGGGCCGGGTGTGTAACCGTCTGCAAGTGGTGCCGTGACCAACGGATCAACCCTGGAGACAACCACGTCACATATGGTGCCGTGGTAACCGAGGATTTCAACCCTGAGAAGACCGATCGACCGCCGTTGCTGAAAATTCAGACAGAACTCAGAACGACCGGGACCAAAGGAAAAGAAAGAACAGAATCGTCTGTAAGGTAGGACACCTTGTTTTGTTTCCCAACCTCGATTGTTTGCTGTATAGACTGTCTTTCTCTGTGGACATGTCAGATTATGATTCGGATAGAGCAGTGGGGGGTGAAGAAGAAGTAGAGCGGGGGTTGTCAGTGGATCTAAGAAAATGCATTGAGAGTTCGCTACTTAAGCGATTGGCAACAACAAACCTACGACCGTGCTCATACATAATATCACCGATCATCGCAAAAGCAATAAGAGCCGAGTACAGTATACGAAGCAATAGAAAAAAACAGTTATACTCTGGTTGGTAATTTCAATCCAGCTTCAGTAATAAACCACAAGCACACACACACACACACACACAAAAAAAAATTACTTCTCGTCAGACCCCAGAAACAGTAGGACTCTCACTTACAAATTTTGATCTATACTTTTTCACCTATGTGTCGTGTTACTTCAGGAGGTTTTCAATCATGGCTCTCCAAAACTTAACAGAGCATGGATTCAAGACATCCGTATACCGCAAACCGACATTCACCGGACAGTATCTCAATTTCAACTCACACCATCCATATAGCGTAAAGAAAGGGATCGTCCGCTGCTTACAACCCCGAGCAAAAGTCATAAGTGGCGACCCAGAGACATTAGATAAAGAATTGGTCAGTATAAGCAGTACCCTACAATGTAACAACTACCCTGGATACATGACAGCAGCCCCAATAATGTGCGATAGGCGGGTACAAGAGGAGGACAACAACACTCAGAAAACAGTCTGCCTGTTGGAGAAAATACAAAAGATCTGCGGTCCATATAACATCTGGACAGCCTTCAAACGCTCATACAACGAACCAAGCTGTAACTCGGTTCTCTGATTAACTGTTCCGAGCCATTATCCATTATACTACCCACACATCCAAGCTTACATAACCTGTTATTCCCAAGCAGTCACCCA